GCAGATCACTTGATTTACCGCAAAACAACGCAGATCACTTGAGTTACCGCAAAACACTTGAGTTACTGCAAAAACAACGCAGTATCGAAGCCTCCGCACGCCGGTCCCTTGAGTATGAGACAGTTAATCRCCGTTTTGCTTGAGTATCYGCAAACGCAAGAGCCGTTTGCTTGAGTATYGAAGCCTCCGCACACCGGTCCCTTGAGTATCGAAGCGTCGCACGCCGGTCCCCGGAGTATCCGCAAACGCAAACGCGAATCGCTTGAGTATCCGCAAACGCAAACRCGTCCGCAGGCCAGTTCCTTGAGTATCCGCAAACGCAAGAGCCGTTTGCTTGAGTATCGAAGCGACGCAAGCCGTTTGCTTGAGTATCGAAGCGTCGCAAGCCGATCAATTGAGTATCGAAGCCTCCGCACGCCGGTCCCTTGAGTATCCGCAAACGCAAACGCGTCCGCAGGCCAGTTCCTTGAGTATCCACAAACGCAAGAGCCGTTTGCTTGAGTATCGAAGCGTCGCAGGCCGGTTGCTTGAGTATCGAAGCGTCGCAGGCCGGTTGCTTGAGTATCGAAGCGTCGCAGGCTGGTTGCTTGAGTATCGAAGCGTCGCAGGCCGGTTGCTTGAGTATCGAAGCGTCCGCACGCCAGTTGCTTGAGTATCGAAGCGTCCGCACGCCAGTTCCTTGTGTATTGAAGCGTCCGCACGCCAGTTCCTTGAGTATGAGACTGTTAACAGCCGTTTCGCTTGAGTATGAATGAACGCTTGCGGTTGAGTATGAATGAACGCTTGCGGTTGAGTATGAATGAACGCTTGCGGTTGAGTATGAATGAACGGATGGAATGAATGCTTGCGGAGGAGTATGATGCGGCGATTTGATGCGGCGATTTGATGGATTTGATGTCAACGTCGACGGTGGAGGTGCAGCATTGGATGGAGGTCCATCAGTACTGATTCGCTGTATAAAAATATGTACGTAGATTACGTATAATTAGTACCGCAGTACTGAATGTACAGGGGGTACATGCGCATGGCAGGCAAGCCAGCCGGCCCTGGAGGTTCGGAATTGCCAATAACTTGCCATTATGGGGCCCGTACTTAGTAGCTCAAGTACGTACTATTCGGCAGTTTTCTCTACGTTAGCAATCCCTACGAGTTTCATGTACGGTGAGACCCTAATCGGGTTAAATCCAGTCCTGAGAAATTTACAGGTTAAAAACAGGAATATTCGTACGAACTTGTGTTGTGTTCGAAACTGTCTTTCATTTTCAATTTTCAAGGATACAGTAAGTTCATCCAGGGACAGACATAGTACCGTACGTAAAGTACCGTACTTACTTCATACGAATTTGACGTCAAAGATCACAACAACAATTGTAAGTATCCCAAAAAAAAGAAACTAAAGGAAAACAATGCGCTTGCTCTGAATGGTGTCGGGAATGATGATGGCAAGAAGGTCAGAGTCGGGTATTCCTTCACTGTGTCAAGCGCTATGGGTAATTTATCTATTTTTTCATCTACGCTGTTACTGCGATGGATTGCAGCCACAACTAACTTCTGCGGTGCTTGATGAGAACAAAAGCAGTAGCCCGCTCACTGGATTCGTGGTGGATGGATTCGATGCTACGGCTTGCACTACGAACAGGCGGGGAGTTCTTCGTGCACTCTTCGGTGCCACGTTTTCTGCTACCAGTACCACATTGAGACCTTCCTTCTCTTGGGCTTCTGCTTCGGCTCCGAACAGTAATGCGCCTCCCTCTCCCTTTGTGTATTCGGACTCCTGGACGGGAACGCGCCTGGAGATCAAGACACTAAGCGAAGCCACTACCGATGGTGCGTACTTGATCAATCGTTCGAGCGGCGGTGGTTCGGTCACCTATCAATGGCCGATGGGAAAGTGGCCGGATCCCGCGCTGCGAATCCCCGCAACACCGGTCCCCCCGGCAATGTGGCTGGAGGGGTCGGCGGAAGAACGCAGGCTTCGGCTGGCGGCTGCCATCCTGCGGGACACGGCCCGGGCGGAGGGCGCGGTGGGGTTAGCGGCACAGCAGTGCGGGGTGGATGCCCGCATGGTGTACCTATCGTCCAGCGGCAGGGTCGGAAGCGGAGATCTCGTGCTGATCAACCCCCGCATCACCGCGCGGAGTCCCGAGCCGAGCATGAGGGTGTGGACGGAAGAATGCCTCGTCTTGCCACCTTCCTTCCGGGCGACCGTCCTGAGGGACGATTGGATCGATGTGGAGTACGACCGCTCGTACGAGTACCGGGCACCGGCCAAAAGCGCAACAAAACACGACCGAGAGCCGTCGGTTCGCTCGCTGTCATCTGCGACGGCGCGCTTCTTCGGAGAGCAGAGCCGCTGCCTCCAGCACGAACTCGATCACGACCGCGGCATTTTGATCACCGACCACGTGGGGCTGGATGAACTAGAAAACGAGACAATGCGAACGATCGAGGCCGAGGGGCACGACAGGCGACAGGCAATTGCCTATGCGAGGGAATGATCGAACTCTCCGACAAATAAAAGTAGCATGTTGCTGCGTTTCAAATTCCCTGAGAGAATGGTGCCAAGCGCATTCAAAGTCACGAAAATAAGCAAAGAAAAATTCACTCCTTGTACAGTATATTCATTGAAGAAATAATAATTATTGCTTTAGAAATATGTTTACAGGCTATTGGAACCCCCTGTCCAAATGCTGTTTGAAATACGTGCAAAGTGCCAAAGAAATCAAAAATTCATACCATGCCACTCAGATGTGTTTTACACGATTGTTTTCGTTCCATCGGGGAACCGAATGATTTTGACACCACTGGCACAGTGCCTTTCCACCTGGCCCGTTGCATATTCGTACAAGACAGACCCATCCCGCAGAGTGATTTTCAGGACCTCTTCTGTGCAGTGATAGTATGCCATCATCGCCGACGCCGAAGGAGAGGAGGCAGTGGAAGAATTGGGAGGAAAGCGCGTCTCGACGTCCCCGTTCTTGAACCTGGTGACCGTCGTTCCGTCCGGATGGATTTCTTTCGTGACACCGTTTCCGTAATCGATCAAATGGCCACCGTTTGGCGTCGCCCGACGAGTGCGATGACTCCCGCGAGAAGAACCACTAGATCTCTCGGAGCGACTGGCAGTGCGAGTTAACCCGGCTGTGTTGTTTTGAGGAGTCTTGTGAATTGAACCTGGTGCATCAACATTGGTATATTTGGTGGTCTTTTGGGATTGTTTGCATTCGTTGCAACCGGCAATCTCTTTCCCCTCTGTGGAACGATATAATTTATCCTTGACATCAGACAGCTGACGCGACAGTTCTTGAATTTTCACGTCTTGTTTCAATCGCATTGTTTCAAGCTGAGCTTCTGTGCTGGACTTGGAGGCTTCGATTTCACTACGTAAATTGTCGATCAAGGTTTCGAAGGTTTGATATTGCTGTTGCTGTGCAAACTCGGAGGAGATCGGAGTAGAGTTACTCAGTGCCGATTCGGTGCGTATCAATTGTCTCTGGTTTTCTGCCCATTTTAGGACGGATTCCTTGGTATTGCTTGCCCACTCGCGTGCCGCATCTCTTTCTTCACGGGCTTCCTTTAGGGCTGTTATGGCCTCTTTCAAAAGTTTCCTCGCACTTTCGGGACTTGTCAGCACCAGGTTCTTAAGTGTATTTGGATTCGCCAATGGGGTTTCGGGCACGGTGCGCTGTAAACCCGATTTTTGCATGTAATTATCGTTCTCACCCAGATGCTCATCCGCATCGCTGGAATCACTTCGTCGGCCGAACGGGTGAGGAGTCCCTTTCACTGTATCACGCCGATGCGGAAGAGGGGTGGTAACATCCGCTCCCCAGTGCAATGATTTGCTCCCGTTTTCCTCGGCTGCAAATTCATCGTCCTTTGCGTCGGGAAGAAAGGAAATGGATCTTGCCGCGGTGTTCTCGGCCGGCACGGGGCGCGCACGCCACCATTCGTTCCCTTTTCGGTCCAAACTCTCTCGTCCCAAACGGTCAAAAACACGGCGAGGATGGGGAGTTCCCCTCCTTGCCTTCAAGTCGCTGTGTCGTGCGGCGCTAAAAGGGTCCGATGGGCTTTCTTCCGAGTCGAAAATGTTGCTGCTTTCGCGCAACGAGTCCAGTGTGCCGTTGCCCATCGTGTCGAGGACCGAGGTGGAGGGCGCCGGCTTGGAAGGAGTTGGGTCCTTCGAAACGGCCCGAAACGAGATCGTTTTGGCGCGGGTGGGCGTCGAAACAAACCCATCGTGTTGCAAGGCCGACAAGAGCCTGGGTGACCGTTCCGTATCCTTCGTGCATCGTCCGCGCTTTGGTGCCTCGGATTCCGGGCGGCTCCTGTCGAAAATGCCATCGTTTGTGTCTTCGCTGTCGGACAAAATCAGAGACAGCGACTCGTCGTGGAAGTACAAGGAGGCTTCCTGTGGCGGAGGGCTTCCGGCAGGTTCCTGGCGCGTTAGCGGGGTTCCAACCGGGTCCGCCGTGATCGGTTGCTCTGCCACCGACGCCACGAGGCGGACGGAAGACGAGGATCGATCTTCCAGAGCAGTTCCCACCACTTTGAGACTGCCTCCGAGTTTGTTTCCGGTGGTCGCCTGGCTAGTGGTCGCACCGAACCGATTCGTTCGATCGCGAAAGACGTTCTTGCCACCGCTCGTCCTTTCTCTGGGACGAGATGCGAAGGGTGGGTGGTCTTCTCCGGAAAAAAGCTGCTTGTTCATGGCCGGGGTCCTCGCTGCTTCCGCGATATTCGCCGTCTCGTTCGCGTGATCAAAGGCCAAATTATCAATATATCCAACCAGTTCTTCCAAGTCGTTCTTCATGGCTTCCGCAATGCTATCAGCGGGAGAAGCCGGAGAAGATCGAGGCTGGCGCTTTTCACTGGATGTTACCATCGTAAGTAGCTTTTTCGTAAGGTAGGGCGTAGAGGGGGGTGGCGGGCCTCGGTGATCGGTCGAACGAAATTGCGGCGGCTCCGCTTCATTTGCATAATGGTATGTCGCCATTCTGGTTCAAGATGAACTCGGATTGGTTTTGTTGGTGGCTAATGGTACAACTATGATTGCCTCAGCCTCCACTAACAATTTCAAGTTTGATTTTGCAGTGCTGCAACAAAATGGACTCCATCCCAGCATGCTGCCGTACCAGGTAGGGTACTCGTACCTACTATTGACTGTAGATAACTGTAGACTGCAGTACAACGATGCTACCTGTACTGTTTTTCTCGTAGCGGATGCGTTCGTACGGTACGTACCGTACGGTATCTCTCATTCGTACAGATCGCAGTAAAAAAATGTGGAAAGATCAAAAATTCTCCTTTTCCTAACCGTGATCACGCATAAAGTACGAGTACTCAGTTAGCTTTTCTTCGATCCATACACTCTACGTCGAAATTTGAATTTCGCGCCGGCCCGTCGAGTACAATCCGGGCGAGTTCTACTGTTTGTCCTCGCACCTGTTGTGTCGCACACAAATTCATTTTTAGTCGTTGTTGGATGCGAATACGAGTGCGTGCTGTTGGTATCGAAGCAACAAAACGACATCCAATCAACCCAGGAGTTGGAACAAAACCAAGGCATTCCACACTAGATCGAAAAACCTCCCGTCTTGATCCCTATTGATTTTCTGTCTCCGATAGTTGGAGGAAGTGGGAAAGATGAAGATCCACGATGATGGAGTTGTCGCAGCGACGAATCCTTCCCGGAAGTCGGTTTCTTTTGGGAACTTGGAGATTGCTGAGCAGTCTGGTAGAACGCCTCTCCAAGATCAAAATCGTCGTGTGATGCATAAGTCGCCATACGTCCAAAACAATTCCGGATCGAAATCAACCTTGTTCAAATCCCCGTCGTCGGTGAACAAAAGGGCCATCACTAGCAATTCGTTCCGCCAAGATCTGAGAAAGGGATGCACGCCATCTTCGACGAAAACAAAACCCCGCACTTTGGGAGAACGCGACAAAGAAAACAATCTCACGAATAACTCGACAACGTCTACCAGAGGAGAGAGGCAAAGCCGGTTGCAGCAGTCGCACCAATCAAATCCGAAAACCGAGGCAAAAACACCCAACAGTGCCAGCGCCTTAAGAAGAACCCTTCGTTCTACGGTTGAGCCCCAACAAGTGCAATCATTGCAACAGTCCGAGACACTTTTGCAACGGAATAGAATATCCCTTCGAGCGTCCTCGACTGTAGGTTCTAGCAATCAACCCTTTCAGTCTTTGACGACGGCCATGACCTCTTCGCTTGTCGGGCGGTCGCGACTTCTAGGGAAAGGTGGTTTGGCTCCTGGTAAGACGGCGATGGGTGGCCTGGGTCCTCCTGCACGAGTCGCTCCCAAAACACCGAATACTTTGTTACGCAACGAACTGGAAGACGAGGACGACGAGTTCGACGAGTCTATGCTCTTGTCTCCCCCACCGGGAGCCTTGTGGGATGCCCTGAACCTTTCGAGTGGTGGAGGCGACAACAAACGGTATGCCATAAGTCCTACCGTCACGACGGGTTTGATCGTGGTATCACCACAAGCCGCAGAACAGATCCATACGTGGTCGTCTGCGAAGGAAAGATTGCCGACGTCAAACCCGACTCCCGAAGTGACAAACGACAAATTCTCTCCCACCGTACCCCGAGCCCTAATGCAGACCCCACACGCAACGGCTTCCCAGCCTGTAACCACGTCCGTCACTACCGCTGTTGCTGCTCAATCGACGAGTCAAGTTAAGATTTGTCGGCAAAATAGTTCAATAATCGAAATCGAGGAAGTCACTGAGCGTGAGATCTACATTGAAAGCACAGAGGATTCGATTCAAGATGAGCACAATCATCTCGAAAATGATGAACAATTGTTCGCCGCAAATGACATGCAAAGCATGGTCACTTCAAATGATGAGGACCCAGACATGCCCCAGCGCAATTCAACAACGCCTACTTCGATTCAAAAATCTACAAAAGGTGGGATCGCGCTTGACCTGACAGCTTTATTTTCAACAGAAAAAGACAATTGCAGGCAGCTGCAGCAACAGAGTGAACGCAAAGAGAAGAAATGGGTGGAAAACACACCACTTTCAACGTCGATGCCTGCAACATTGCTGTCCAAACTAAATTCAAACAGGCCGACGTCAAAGAAACAAGTACAAGGAAAAGAAAAAGGAAAAGAAATTCGGTCCGTGCCACCCAGAGCAACAACGTCGAAAACAAAATCAACCTTTACGAAGACAAAGCCTTCTACTACCAAGGGATCGACGACAAGGGTGGCAAGAGAGAGGAACATTTCCAGAAAACCAACCATGCAGAACAATGCTAAAGGGAATCCCAAAAAGGTACTAGCGACTGCTAAATCCAATCTATCGACCAAAATTACTCAGAAGGCAACCTCGAAGGACGTAGTGAAACCATGGAAGATACAAAAGACCGAAAATTTAGCCAATGCAAAGGAAAAGGAGAACAACGAATCGGTATTAAGTGAGACGTCGTCGGTTCGGCACGACAGTGCCACAGAGGAAAATGTACGCCACCGTGGAGGCCTCGCTTTTGATGTTGGTTTCACCGATACAGTGAAACCACAGATACAATTGCCACCATCTAATTTCAAATCTAGAACTGGAGGAACAGTATCAACAGCAATGGCAACCAAAGAGCCGAAACCAACCGGGAGTTGGGCTGATAGACAATGCCAAGTATTCACTGGATGGTTGAACTACACTCTTAATCCTGAGGAAATGGATATCAACAACGAAGGTTGCATTGCGTCAGGTCTTAGAGCATTGATTATTCATCGACGCCTTGCAGAAGGCCGAGTCCATGCCATGAATTTGTATCAGGGAAGTTCCATGCGTCAAATTCGAAAGACGATCGTAAAAGAAATCGCGAAGGGGAGACTCTCTATTCGTGCTGACCGCGATGTAGCTGTTGATGTTCAGCTACAGAAGAAATTGGTGTCCCTTCTTCTCTCGTATACAACTCCATGGCTTCGACTAGCCTTGGAAGTTATGTTCGGAGAGTGCATCGAGCCCGCGCCTTTCTCGGAAAGCAGTCCCAAGGTATGTTTATACAAACATCAATATGTAGTTGCATTACATCCGTCACGATGTTATCTAATCCATCATTTCTTTCTTTAGACTTATTTGGGTAGGATGAAGCTTGCTCTGAAAACTTTCGTCAAAAAACGTTTTCTTTCCGATGACGACACATTGCAAAAGTTCACGAAAGGTCGTTGCAATGTTCCATCAGGTAGATTTGAAACGCAATATAAAGCAGAAATGAGAAATCTTGTCCTATCGCGGATTATGACACTAGTGTTCTTTTTGGATCGAGCGAAGGCTGCAAATGTATTGGAGAATGTTCCAAGATTATTCACTGTATCTTCCAATGTCAAGTCCACACGTGATGTCCTGATCACAATATGCAGAGAATGTTTGTCTGCGGAGGGAGATATTACAAAACACCTCTCTCGTATCGGGCTTAAAGTATCATATATACAAGACCCGATTGATGAAGTCAACTTCCAAGTCGCCAATTTAGCCACAGATTTACGTGACGGAGTTCTCTTGACGAGACTCGCGGAGATCATTACAGGTGCATCATTCAAATCTTACATGCATTCCCTACGTATACCTGTCGTGTCAAGATTGCAAAAGAAATTCAACGTCAATCTAGCTATGAAATCGATCAAGGATTTCGGTATAATCATAGCAGATGGAATAAATGCACATCATATTATGGACGGTCACAGAGACATGGTTCTAGCCCTGATGTGGTGTATCATTGCACAATGTTGCATCGAAAAGCTACTCCAGGGTGATCAAGTGGAGCAAGAAATCCAAAATGTAATCCAGTCTTCCCAGGCTAGAGAAAAGGTGCAAGGTAGACGCTACACGAAACTGATTTGTGCTTCACAGAATCTTCCATTCTCTAGTCCAGTAGGGAGAGACTCTTCTCCTGAGAAGATCCTAAAAGATCTCCTGCTTCGCTGGAGCCAGGCTGTGTGCTCGTCGTTTGGTTTGACAATCAGTGACTTGAGTGACTCTTTTGCCAATGGAAAGGCATTGTGTTTACTAATTCATTACTACCACCCATCGCTAATACGTGTTGAAGAGATCTTCCATGCATCTTTAGAACCTCAACCAGGTGACAGCACAGAAGACTTGTTGGAAAAAGAACGCATTAATTGGAGAAGGGCTTCAACGTCAATGCAACAACTTGGAGGAATACCCGATATGCTTCCAATTTGCGACTCCGAAAATCCGCCCAACGAAAAGTCTATGCTGCTTTGCCTTACATATCTGTGCTCGCGTTTGATGGAGTCAAGCCAGGAAATCTTTGCTGCCATATTGATTCAAGCTTGCTACCGTAAATATCGCAGAAAGGTTTTGTTAGAGAAGAAGGTTGCTGCAGCTTCGACGATTTTTCGTTTTTGGACTCTCCACAAAGACAACTATTTTCGCAAACAAAGAAAACGATACAAAGTTGCCGTTGCCACTTTAGAAGAATTCCTTCTTTCCCACAAACATGCCTTGGTGCGATTGAAGAAGATCAGATTGAAGAAGGAGCGAACGATACGATGCACAATCAATATTCAAGTAAGTTATTGCGTTCTATTTTTGATTTTGTGGAAAAACAGAAATCCCCTTCTTTATCTCACGCTCTCGCCGTGTTTTTGCATTGAAAAAAGAGAGTATATCGTGGCTACCTTGGACGAGTACGTTATGAACGAGCATGGGTATTAAAGTTCGCAGCCACCATGATCCAGAGAACTTTTAGGCGTTATATGGCGATGCGAATTTCAGCAGATTTATGTAAAAAGCGAGACTCAGCCGTTGTCATACAGAGTGCATTCCGTCGCTTTGTCGCTTATGAAAGTTTTTTGGACTGCCGATTTTACATCATTGAACTCCAGCGGACTTTCAGGGGCCATTTAAGTAGAAGGGAGCTGAAGGAAAGAAAACACGCAGCTCTTGTAATTCAAAAGGCTTGGTGGTCTTACTTGGTCGCTTTAGAATCAGAATTGGCAGCAATCTTCATCCAGAAAGTGTGGCGGGGTATATTAGGGCGGCGCAAATGGGTAGAAAATGAAAATCGTCGGGACGCAGCTTGCTCGATTCAAAAGATATGGAGAGGATACTACCAGTCGCTCAAGTACTTTATTACTTTTGAATCATCGATTGTCATCCAAAAGACGATTCGAGGTTTCCTTGTGAGGAAAGCCATTCCAGTCAATATGTACAGTCATGCTGCGACTTCCATCCAGAGAATATGGAGAGGATTTTCTGTACAGGTTCAGTTTCAGCTTGATTTATTTGATATTGTATGCGTTCAAAGTTTGGTAAGGAAATTCCTCGCGAAGAGAACTTATATGAAAAGAATAAACGCATTGTCGATCCTCCAATGTTCATATCGATGCTTCATAGCACAGCGCCGAATGGTTGAAAAAATCAAGGACAGAGAACAAGAGATTTTGCAGCACCGATCTGCTGTAATCATACAAGCACACGCTCGAAAAATTATTACACAGCAGAATCTGTATTCTCTACATTATTCAGCGTATGTCATCCAAAATAATTGGCGAACATTTCTGTGGCATAGACTTTCAATGTCTTCATCTACAAAGATTCAGTCATTCTATCGCGGATGGAAATGTCGGTGTGCATTCATGCATAAAAGGAAGGCTGTAGTCGATATACAGAGGCTCTGGAGAGGCTTCGTTTGTCGCCAAAACGATGAAATTTTGCATTTTGCGTCAACTCTAATCCAGAGTGCATGGCGGCGTTATTGGATTTACACTGACTACATTTTGTATGTAAAAGAATCGAAAGCTGCTACTCTGATTCAAGCTCATGTTCGAAGAATGGCAGCAAGGAGGATGATCGACACCCAAAATCTTCTTGTGCAAATTATTCAGAGCCAATGGAAAAACTACAAACAATTCAAGACAGAGACAAACGCAGCAACCAAGATTCAAGCAATTGTCCGCTCGAACTTGTCTAGATCAGATTTTCTCGAGTCGAAAAGACTAACGTTAATCTTGCAACAAACGGTGAGAGCGTACCAAGCACGAAAGTTATTCCGTATCAAATACAACGAACGGCTACGCGAACAATCTGCCACCATCATACAAAGCTTGTGGAGATGCTTCTCGAAACAAGTTCAATTTCAAGTCGATGTTATGGACATAGTCTGCGTTCAAAGCGAATGCCGGAGGTACCTTGCGTTCAGAACGTATAAGAGAATTGTCCTCGCTACCACTGTAGTGCAGAGAGCATTTCGTTGTGCTGCTGCAAAGCAAGAATTGTCGATGAGGAAACTCGTAATGGATACGATGGTAATGGAATCGTCTACGAAGATTCAAACAGTGGTTCGAGCTCATATCGCAAGATCCAATTTTTTTCGGATCAAAAAATCTTCGATTATCCTTCAGAAGTGCTGGCGAGGACATAATATCCGTAGAAACCTTCGGAATTTATGCATCAAGTCAACAATCGTTCAGAATACTTGGAGGATGTATCAGCTCCGCGCAAAATACGTATCAATTGTAGATTCTACAACGAAAATTCAGACTTCCTTTCGTCTTCACTCTACCCGATCAAGATATTCAGCAATGAAAGATTCTATGGTCTGCGTTCAACGTTGCTGGAGAGGATACAAGGCCAGAGTTAATCTTTCGAAGCTATCTTATGCTGCAATCAAGATTCAAAGTCATTGGCGAAGATCCGTTGCTCAAAATAACTACCTTCTTGATCTGTTGGAAATCAAATCTGCGACCTTGATTCAAGCCTCTTTTAGAATGTATGTGCGCAGGTTGGATTATATGGTCGTAAAGTATTCAGCGCAAACAATTCAGCGATTTACCAGAGGACTTCTGTCAAGAGTTGATCTCGCTGTCCAAAATTTTGCTGCATCCGAGATCCAGCGAGTGTGGCGGGGATATTGCACTTACTCTACGAAAGACATTATCTGTGCTTTGGTCAAGGTACAGTCGGTTTTTAGAATGGCTTCCGAGAAAAACAAGATTGATGAGTTACGTCTTTTGTATTGGGTAGAAGTATGCAATAGAAACAGAAATGCGGTCACTATCCAGCAGTCATTCAGGAAATATGTTCAACGAAAGAGGAGAGATAATGCTGCCAGAGTTGTACAGAACGCCTATCGCTCATATTCACAGCTCAAAAAGATTCAAGCAGCGTCTCGAGGTATGATCAGGCTTCAGTCGAGGGTAAGAGGAGCCCTAATTCGGAAGAAGCGCAGCAAAAGGATCGAAGAGTTAGCACGTCGAATTAAAGAGGAAACTCGGCGGGCAATCCTTGATCCAACATTACGGTTAGGATACCGTACCTCTCGAGCTTTGGAAATCTTGCAAACTAGCCAGAGTCTAACAAAAATTATGGACGCTGTAAAGGAACTCGAAGCTTCAACTCGACTATCAGTTGTATGTTGTCAGGTATTTACTAAGGTCAACGCGGCAAACATTTTGCTTCAACTCATCCAAAGTTGCAATAGAAGTGTACCCCATATGGAACTCAAGGAGCATATCCTGCTCACACTTGAAAACGTGGCACAATATCCTTCCCTGATAGGCAGCTTCGCTCATTGTAGATACGCTGAGGTCTTTCTCGACAATGTCCAAGTCTTTCGTGACAAGGATGGGATATTCTGTCTCGCGGTGGTCTTGTTGGATCGTATTACAAAGGCTGAACACGATGTGGCTCAATTCTGTTCCACTCATGAACATCTGAAACGCCTGAAGGAAGTTTATAGGGTTGTCTCTCGTAGAAGATTCAGATTTCAGAAAAATAGGGCTTTGAGCGAGAAGGCACGACGATTGAGAAAATACGGGTTAGCAAAGCGAGATAATTTTGACAGAGAAGTTTCAACGAAGATGCTTGGAAAAATGATTGAGGTGTTTACGGAAATTGCAACGACACCAACCAGCCACCGCAATTGTTTTTTTTTTGAAGGATGATGGCAGCCAAAAAAACTTACTACGGTGCAAAAACTAGGTTATTGCTACTAGAATGACTTAGTTAAAAATGAATAATATATTTTTGGTCAAGGTACTACTTTATTTGCAAAAAATKGTATACCAGGGTTTGTACAAATCCACACTAAAAACAAGTTTCTTTTTGTTTCCTCGGTAAGTCCAGGGCTGTAAGAATTCTTCAAAGTTACTGGCTACMCGCACTAAAGTTAGTKAAGTGCAGTGTAGTGCACCGTAGCCAACTACCAGGCAAGTTTTCAATTTTGATTAAATGTATGAAAAGCAAAAAACACATGTTGATTCCTTCTCTTCTGCATTAGATTCAATTGTTGAGATGGTTGAATGGCAGTAAAGTTTAGATCGAGTCAAATAAAGTGTTCTCTATCTTATCCTCTATTCCTTGAAATATGAGCTCTCCTCCTAGCTCTGATAATCACGGCCTCTGTCCGGAATTCACTCCTCTTATACTCAATCATCCCTTCATATCCTTGGATCCCTTCAACTTCAAGGATTCTTTCACATCAAGACAGCTGCTCCCATGTGGTGTCAGTCTGCCCTCCAGCTCGCCAGGGCCACCATCTGCTCTGAGATCTGCATCACTTAACAATTACATATAACACAACCTAATTCACCAATCACAATGAGCTCCCAGCTCCTTTGAGGTATTTTGCAGCTCACCTTGCTCGATGCCAATGGTGCACCTCCTGGCGCACCTGAATCACATAAGTCTCAGAATGTCCACTTCAACATCGATATCTACAAAGCTTTACGATTACTGAAAAGTAGAGGTATGTCGGATAATAAAACAGCGTTCATATAGAAAAAGTTTCTGTCTACTTTGTTACTCTTCGTATGAGTCTTCTTCGTCTTCGTCATCTTCCAAGTCAATTAGATCAACTCTAATGAGATCGTCAGACTTGGTGACAACGCCGCCTACTCCTCTCGAGCCGCAAAGCAACAGTTCACATAAATCAGTCGGTGAATCTTCTGCTATTGTTCGACCTTTCGACGAATACGAACGAAACGAGAAAGCAGGAAAGAAAGTGAGAAAATTGCAACAAGTTTCGATTTCGATAGCGGTGTGGCCCATACTTACTTTGAGCCAGTAAAATGCTGTCCTCGTCATCACTGTCACAACTCTCGCCGACCGAAAGCTGCACGACTTTTTTGCTGCAGTTTGCGTCAACCTGGGAAGCATTCAATAGCATAGGATCGAATGGGACGGCTTGCCACGACAATGAATCGTAAGTCGTTGTCCAGAGCTCTTTTGTAGACGACGGTGAATACTTTTGGAAGATGAAGCCAATTTTTTGTCGTCCTTCCATCCCAGTGCCGCTATCGTTTCCAGATGAAAGAGAACTCTTTCCATCGTCTCCATAGAATCCGATCTGAAGAACCTGCCCTCCTTTCGGCAAAAGCAGTTTCGAGGTCAAATAGAAAGGAACGTCGTCCGCGTCGTCCATTTCGTCGTACATGTCACAATCGTCGGGGGGAAAGTCGTCGTTGTGTTGTTTCCAACCCAAGGGGAGGCAAAACAGTTGGATCATAGCCCCGTGTGCTTGTGCAATCAGAAACCAGTGGCGACAATTTTCCAAACCAGACATGGGGGAAAGATTTGCGAAGTGGTTTGTATCGGGATCAATCTTTGGTAAGAAGTATGTGCGCTCTACGTCCTCTCTCCCTTCGTTGTCGTCCCAAAAAATGCAGGATGCCGAATCACGACCGATGCGACTGTGAGTTGCAACCCTGTATTGCTCCTTGTTGTTAACGCGTGGTAAATATAAGTCTGGAAAGTGTACCAGCACGCAACGCGAAAAGGGATGTGAGGAGGATTGCTCACAAGGGATATCTGATTGTTCATCGCCGGACAGTATCAATGGCAATGCCTTACCTTTTGATTTGATTTGATCTGGTACGTTCGACAAAGGGTTGGAGAAAAGACAGTCCGTTGCGTCGATAGCTTGCTGAAGCGACTGGCATACGTTTGGGGCACGATGCAAAATTTCTCTCACCGAAGACGGACTTTCCGGGCGAGGAGCCGAAACACTTTCGAACGTCCCTTTCAGCATTGCCTATTGTTTCCACGTTGCGGTAGTGCCGTTGACAGAGAAAACAAAAACAAATGTGTTATTTGCGGTACCTTGTGTTAGAGCTGCATCAAAATTGAGGTCTTGGCGTTGCAATTGCAATGCAAACAACTGTTACTTACGCTTACTTCAAGCTTCAATATGGACTCCGCCAAACCTTTTTGGTGGGAATCGTTCTTTCCTCTCAACACCTCATTCCGACTGCTTTCGTTGAGTATGGTCACAAGCCGCTCGAGGACGGCCTGGGAGATTCGGCGTTTCTTGGCGTTTTCTCTCTGTACCGAATTCGGTGCGGTGCCCCTCGCCTTGACCTGGGAACCAGCGTGTCGCAACCATCCACAAAAGTCCCGCACCAGCATCCGTCCCGCCACGATGGAGGTCATGACATTCTCGACGCCTATCCACAACTTTTCAATGGCTTCCACCAACTCATGGACCATTTGGCGCTTGTTCGGGCTGCGTTTTGGTTCGGTAGCGTTCATGCTTGCATCGCTATCATCGTCACTGTCGTCGTTGTTATCGTCGCAAGAAGCATTATCGAAAAACTGCACGAGGCCGCCGAGTTCTTGGATCTGCCATCCGAGGGCTTGCGTAGGACGCAACAAGCACCGGATGGCGGTCGATTCCACGTTGGCCATGGAAGCCAAGAGCGTTCGCTCCATTCGCTGAACGAGCTGATCGTTCTGCTGTACACCGGTGAAGAACTGATCCATGGCGTTGGCAACAGAAGAAGAATGGGTCACGTGGCCCATCATGATGTATTCCTTCATGACGGCCGCCAGGGTCGTTCTTGTCGCAGTCGCGTCGCTGTGTTTCGCTTCCAGATCAACTTCCACTCCGTAATTGCTCAGAAGCCCAATCAAGGGCTTGAGTTTCTGATCGAGCGGTCTGAGACTCGTCCTCCAGCTGTCTGCGACAATGGGTACCGATCGCTGAATCGTCCGGAGATGAGCCGTGATGGATGTGTGGAGCGTCGCGATTTGTTGCAGGGCGTACCTATCCCGCTTCAGAAAGGGAGTGTGATAAAGGGTCAAGAAGTTGTTGCTGGCGGCCGCCCCCGTTGAATCCGGAATACTCGGTGTGGTGGTAAGCCAGTAGCCCAGGTCGTTGCTTGCCACTACCATCGGTGACTCTACCGAGCCCGCTCCCGAGGAAGAAATAGCCTTGGCGTCGAGGATGCCGTTGTTGGACTTCGGAAGGGTCAAGAGCAGATATCTCCCGTGTAGGTACAACCGGTGTTTCATGTCGCTTGTCGAGATACACAGGACGCTCAGGGGTGTTCGGCATTCTGGTAATGAACCCTGTGTCAAAGAAGACGACTCGGCATCGCCCGATGTGCCCGCTGCTCCAGCCTCTCCTGCTCCATCGCTGGAATAGTAAGCGCTAGGAGGCAAAAATTTGGTAGATTGATCGATGTAATGGGATTGGTACCTGATTATCCAGTGCAATAAATCAGGAATTTCATTTGTTTGTTGCAGTGGCCGTAGCAGAAGTGGCAATACGGAAGCATTGCAAGAGCAGGAACGAAAAAATAGCGATACCAGAAATGACGGTAAAGCATGCATGGATTAGAACAATGTTAACGGAACAAAGTTGGATCATGCGGTACACGATATCACCAACGCAACGTGAGAAACTCTTGAAAAAAGACGCCATTCTCTTTCCAACGGTGCGCAAAGCTCACCTCCAAGAAACTTCCCGCTCTTCTTCCACTGGCGTAGGAGAAGAAGCTGTAGGATTGTGTTTTCCAACATGCACCCAGTGCAAGGCAAGCACACGTGTCGATTCGCGGTCGCTGCTAGTTGCGTTATTGGTGTTGTCGCTGTCGTCGTTGTTGCTACCACTCGCTGGGAATTCACGCTGCCGTTCCTCCAGGCTTATGGTCCACGTTGCGCTGCTGCTTCCGCTCGCCGTCCCGCCACCACCGCCCGCCCCCGAGGCCGTCACGAGGCTCTCGACCCGGTAGAGAGAAACACTGGAGTCTTGTGCGACGGCTATGCACTGCCCATTGGGACTCCAGCAATACGACAAGGAGCCTTTGTCGCTGCCGCCGGGGTTGCTCCCGCCGCCAACCGCCTCGGCGCTCGCTCCGAGCGACGATTCCGGCAGAACGACGTCGGCCACCTTTTGCCAGGAGAGGCTTCGGTAAATCACCAGGGATGGCGACAGCGACGATGAGGACGAGTTTGCGGATTTGACGAGAATCAGATCCATCGAGGGACAGAGCTTGGTTGCGCTGCGGAGGACGCTCCGTTCGGTGCCAACAGAGGTATCGTTCTCGCCCCTGGAACCGGCCGCGAGAAATTTCCGCGACTGGAGGAGGCTGAAGGACTGCCTCGCAGCGATATCCGTCGTTATTTCCTCCCGCGATGCCGGCATGGTTTTTAGGTGAGGCACGTATCGAATAGTCTTGGCTTGGATCACTTTGGTTGGTCTACTCTGCCCTTTCTCCCTTGCTTTCCCCTTAGTTTGTTTCGGGGACGAGTTCAAAAAAAATTAAAGTTTGGCTTTTTAAATAGTTTTTGGATTTACGAAGTCCTGTGTGTACGTATGTACTACCGTACTACTCTACTTTGGAATTGTACTGTTCGTACGGTTCATTCCTGGCACAGCAGGAATCCACGGACGAACGGTACGGTACTTACCGTGGCACCATACGTACGGTACGGTAGATGAAGATAGTACTTATTTAGGAATTTCAATATTTGGGAAGACGACAATGGGGCCTCGTTTCAAAACGTCCCCATCCTCCCCCAAATAGTTCCCGATCTCATGATCACGATGACTGCGTAAAAAATTATGACCGCCAGAAAAAATGAATCAACTTTGAACCAAGCTTTGATCTTCCAACGGCTTGTCGTCCCATCGGTAACACATCCCTATGTTGTGGAAGGATACCAAAGTACTGTAGTAGTATTCTGCAACCAACCAGACAGCTGTCCAGGACCACACAAGAAAAGATGGCCGAAGAAGCAACAAAACCAACCGTGGTGATGGTAACCGGTGGTTCCGGACTGGTCGGCCAGGGAATCAAGGACTATGTGACGGAAAACGACAACAAAAACACCAAGGCCGGAGAGACCTGGATCTTTTTGTCCAGCAAGGACGGTGACTTGACGGACCGAAAAGCGACGGAGGCCATCTTCGAAAAGCACAAACCTACCCACGTTATTCATTTGGCTGCCAAGGTCGGGGGTCTTTTTGCCAACATGGCCGAGAAAGTGGAGTTCTACCGCGAAAACATGATAATGAACGACAACATCATGGAATGCAGCCGGATCTACAAGGTCCAGAAGCTCGTTGGCATGCTGAGCACCTGCATCTTCCCGGACAAGACCACCTACCCCATCGACGAAACCATGATCCACAACGGACCACCCCACCACTCCAACGAGGGATACGCCTACGCCAAGCGCATGATCGACACCATGAACCGCGCCTACGCCAGCGAATACGGGTGCAACTTCACCTCCATCATCCCCACGAACATCTACGGCAAGCACGACAACTTCTCGATCGAAAAGGGCCACGTCATTCCCGGCCTGATCCACAAGTGCTACAAGGCCAAGGCGGACGACACGCCCTTTTGCATATGGGGCAGCGGGACCCCGCTGCGGCAGTTCATTTACAGCCGCGATCTCGCCGAGCTCACGGTGTGGGTCACGCGGGAGTACAACGAGCCCGATCCCATCATTCTGAGCGTCGACGAGTCCGCCGAGGTCACCATCAAAGACGTCGCCCTGGCCGTGGCCAAGGCCATGAAGTTCGAGGGGAAGGTCGAATTCGACACCAGCAAGGCCGACGGCCAGCACAAGAAGACGGCTTGCAACAAGAAGCTTCGAAAGTACCGCCCCGACTACGAGTTCACCTCCATGCCCGATGGAATCCAGCAGTCCGTGGATTGGTTTGTCGAGAACTACGACACGGCCCGCAAATAAGGAACGCACGAAGCGGCATCTGTTTCCCGTGTCCTATCGAAGGATTCACAGCTGATTAAATTTTTTGCATCACTCGAATGCTGAAATCATATTCAGATGAAAGCCACGTAGGGTTAACCTTCTCGGAAAACCAACTTCTTAAAGATAGTGGATCATAAGGAGCAACCCTAATAATATTATTTCTACCCATTGCCGCATTACCCGTGTATTTTGCGCTCAAAATGACTTTTGCTCTAAGGCTATGTTGTGCCTTGCGTGCAGTTGTGGAAAGGTACAGATGTCTTCTGAGTGGCCATTGGAAGAAAATGTGACACGAGACTTTCGGTGTAGCACGAGTGCGATGCCCCGAAGAAAGCCAGTACATTCGAAAAATGTCCCCATGCTTCATGGTCGATAAAAATTGTCCGCTCTCTTTAAAGCGATGGAAAAACAAGAAAAGAAACGGAAGCTACCGTTCGATATGAGAGACAAATAGTAGTGCAGTCCGATAGATGCTATACCGGTGCGATAGCATTGCACAAGCGACAATTCATCGCGCACATAGTTACTTGTTTGTTACCAGTACGTACTACGAAGAAACGATGAGGCGAATTAGAAGACCGATTCTGCGGTCATTCCTTTCTTCCCCTCCACGGTCATCTGTTGGCAGCATTTTTCGAGTGATGGCACTAGTCTAGTGGATGGTGGGAACCATGGACAATTTTCCAGGGTTGGAAATCCCGGTGAGCAGTAGGGTGAGTAAAACTCATGTTTCAGGTACACTATTCGTGAAAAGATCCTTCTTGAACTTTTCCCTGCTGTTTGTACCACAAGTGAAGCTTAATGCCGTTCACCAAAGTATGGTTTCCGTTTTCGCACGAGGAACTACATTTCGAATTAATCAGATAATCTTCCTCCGAATTTGTTGCGAGAAAAGACTCCAAAAGACTCCTGGTTCTCATCGCTCTTGCAGAAGTACAAATATTGAATCAGCATTGCAACATAAAAACAGAGGAGGAATTAATCTGATCATTTCAAGGAATGGTTTTGTCATACGCGGCAGAGTAAAGTAGAATATCATGTGTGCCCGAAATGTATTTAATTGTATGTTTATTCTTTTATCTAATTTAAGTGTCTATGGATGACGCGCTTTATGTTCAAAATGTAAGTCTAATGTTTCGAAGCTCTTCAGGGGCATTGTTGACGTGTTCCTTCACAGCAACGACGCGGTCGGTGTCTGTCTATTTCTGTATGTGTGTGTATTTCTATATAAGTCTTGTGTATTTTTTTTCGTGAGATGAGGTCGATCTCGTCTGGTTTGAGTTGAGTTGAGAGGACCATCGATGATAAGCTCCTTCACTTCGATGGCTCGGTGTGTATGTATCTATGTAGGTCTAATGAATGCGCAATGATCAAAATCATTCAATATGTTTCGAGTTGGCAGGAGTCTCAACAACGAGTTCCTTATCGATCACGAGCTCCTTGATGGCAATACTCATGAGAATGAGTTGAATCACCATCTCTTCCGGACGGATCGTGTGGTCGATGACATAATCTGCTGAGATTGCAAATACTCTGCCGATGACGGCGAGCAATCGGAGCAAACTCTTCGATGGACTGAAATAGGCTGAGAAGTCCATTGTGGCATGCGCCATCGTAGTGAGGACCTCGGCTTCGATGTCGGGAGTTACGGCCAATGCAGTGACCCCCTTTGAATCGTTGAAGGAAAAGCTAGATCTTCCGCATGTAGGAATGAAATTTTTAGCTTTTCGTGGTGCAATAGAGTTTGGTGTCCCTGGCACGAAGCCAAGGCATGTGTTCACCAACATCGAGACTGAAAGGAGTACAAGCAGAGATCGAACAAATATTTTTGGCGTCATCGTTTCTTTTTTATTCGGGTGTGTAACTGTTTGAGTGCTTTGCCAACTTTGCTTAATGAGTACGATACGGAGCTTTTCAAAAAGTGAGTATTGAAAATTATGGCACATCAGCGAGCGTTTGCTTGCAATCGTGAACGCTCGGTTGTCATCTCCGACCTGCACAAAAGCGACGTGACAAATAGCATTCCATTTGCACGATTAACGCCTCGCCGCCAAACCCGGTTGCCATCACTCTTCCTCATTTGTCGACATCACACCTCCTTCGACCGTTGCGGCGGACAGCACGAACCATTTTTGTGGTCACAAATTTTCCTCTGTGCTACTCCGATGAACGTGCTTTCAAAATTATCGAATTCCTCGACAAGATTAAGAGCTTAATCCTTTGAGCTATATTTATAATGGTCGCGCGAAAAAAATCAAAACGTTCTTATTGGTTAAAAATATAAAGTGGGGACGTGTCATTTACGTCGCGAATAATAGACCAGAGTGAGTCAATGGTTCAGAAAAATAGCATTCCCATTTCGAAAACAATTATGCGAAGTTTGATCGTGCAAATTGAGGATTACTGTTGCGGAGTTAATGAATACTACTAATTCCGTTCTAGCATGCAAAGGGAAGAACTCTGTACCGTAGAGGGTTTCTTCACTACTGGTACAAGCGCACTGCTGTTAAGTTATTGGGGAAAGGGGAAATGGAGACAGGATATTTTTTCAAAAATGACTGCAACGAGTACCGTAGGAACAGTACGGGGATCACTCGTGGATCCAATCGTGAGTCCCCGGGACCCAAAACTATATATATATATATAT